CTACCACAGCATGGTATTCCACTGAGAACAACCACGTTTTAACTAGTGTTTGCTCCAGGCTGAGCTTGGTGCATGCATTATTTCATTTCAGATGGCAATCCTGCGAGGGAGTGTTCTCTCCTTCTTCTGACAAAAGAAGAAGCTGAGGTTCAGAGTGGCTCACCACCGCGAGCCCTGGCTTGTCTTCCCACCGCATGCGCGCTCCTCACCCCCAGGCCTGGCCTTTCTCAGCTTCCGCTCCTCTGACTGTAAACCGACGGCCTACACTTCCGGGCCTTTGGGGCCCTCCTGGCTCTCAGTCCCCCCGTTTGCACAGCAGCTGGTGCCAACCACCATCTGAGAAAACAACGCCCGTGTGTCCCTCCTGCCGCCTCCCCACCACAGCTGTGTGGGCCGAGGGTGAACATTTGGCCCAAGCAGTCAGATCCCTTCCGTCCCTGTGAACATGGGGCAGGCGGTGACATCCTGTGAGCACCCACCTGCATGGCCCCGGGGCTGAGCTCTGTAACAGACCCACGCACAGGTCAAAGCTGGAGGAGGCAGGAGCCAAGGACAAGATGGGGAAGCTGGTGGGCGGAGACCAGAGCCAACGGGAGAACGACAGAGCCGGAGCGGGCAGCCTGACCAGCTCTCGGGTTCCCACAAGGCCCTGCTAATGGCTGTTGCTGTGACATTTCCCTGTTTTCGTGTCAGAAACCCATTGTAACCATCTGCATGGCCCCGTGGTTTCTGTTCCTTGTGACCAACCATCATCATCATCATCTTCATAATAGAGGAATATGCCAATTAGCCATGACGCCATAATGCCACAACCAAACAGCAGGGACCTGAGGCTGCATGGTGCCTGGCCAGGGCGAGGGACCTCAGACCATGCCCCCATGCCCCAGCACCAGGCTGGGGGACCTGAGGCTGTGCCCCCTGCCCGGCACCGGGCTTGGGTATGGGTTTTGCATGATTTCGAGGTACACAGGTGGGTGGGGACTTGACTCTGTGTCCCATGGCACTCCCCAAACTTTGACAGGAGGGAGATTTTCATATACATTTTACCAATTTTCTTTATTCTCTGACACTTCTATTATAGAGAAAGTAGGTCCTGTCGCACCCCAGACTCTGACAGGAGAAAGATTTTCATATACATTTTACTAATTTTCTTTCATCTCTGACACTTCTGCTATAGAGAAAGGGCAAATAGAAATATTAAAATATTTCCTCTAATTAATTCCCTTTTAATGTGCATGAATTTTATGCACCGGGCCACTAGTGTCTGATAAGTGTGGACATTTGACACCATTTCTGGCTCCCCAGCACCATGTCTTGTGTGTTTCTTCTTACATTTTTATTTATTTTGGTAATTTATCTTT